CGTCCAATGGATGAAGTCGAAGAGGTTGATAAAAATGCAGAATTTTGCTCGGATATTCTGCCCCATTTGTCTAGGTAAGTTAATATTGTGGTTTATATTATATTGAGGAATCTTTATTTGGTACTTTTTGTGCGCCAAAATATTCAACAGGTAAATAATTTGAGCGAGAACTTTCTGTTTTGAAGCAAATTTGTCGAGCAAAACTGTTAGCTGATTGACCTTTCGAAGGCCACTGCATGGCGAAGCAGAGCCCTTTTGACACAAGAATAGGTGGCTTTCTTGTATGGGGAATTTCAGTTCTTCAGTGCTCGGGGTTCACCTCATCAATCCCTTCAAAGTGCAGAGTGGCTGTGTGGAAAGAACAGCCATGTACTTCCCATGTTTCAGATAGTTAGATTAGGTAAGTTTTCACCTTTGTCGTACTAAAGTTTACATCTAGAGTAATATCCGTAATTTGGTTAATATTTATGGTTTGACCAGTAATTCGGATCTAGAGAAGTCTTGTGTTATATGCTAGGTAGACCCGCAACAAATATTAGACATAGTTGTGTCATTTACATGAAAAGCCAGCCTAGTTCGCGGACGACGGCCTAGAATTTTTGACTAGCTTTTCGCTGATTTCTAGTTTGGGATTGGATATCTTAAAATTTGATGAACGCCGTTAATCCAATAGATCCACCAGAATCTATCGATTTGCAAGGTCATTTAGCTAATACTTCCCTTTTGTTCATCTAAAAAGTTGTATCCTACTGAAAACACGTTATTAAAGACACTTGTGTTTTTTGCAGGGAATGTCACTGGAAGGAACAGTCATATCATAGTGCACAAATTCCCTTTCAGAATGCTACACTGGGCATCACTAAATTAGGGATTCTATGAATATTTACCCTTCGAAGGCTTGTGCCCCCCTTGATGATACACTGGCATGGAGTTTATCACTCACCTCAGTTTAGATTTTTAAAAATTTCTTTATTACCTGTTAAGACGTGCATATATGGGAGCTCATTTTTTTTGAAAATAAGCCTTCGTTCGGTACCAAAAAATGGCATCTTTATATAATATTTTTCCGTGGACATTATCTGCTCCAAGAAGATAGGAACAGATAATGTCTAAGACAAATATCCGAGCATATTTTTAAAGTCAATTGGAAGCTATTGTGTTTATTATCCTTCAAATATTTTTAGCAATGCGTGGAATGTGCTTGAAGATTTGAAAATTGGGGAACAACACTTCGCTGGAGAATATTTCACAGTTGTAGCTGGAGCATTTAGTTACATGATGCAATTAGACAAATGACGTGTAAGCGAAAATATTTGATGGATTAAATGGTACATATAGTCATAATTGAAACTATAGGCTGATTTTGACTTAGATGATTGTAAAAGCAGAATAAATAAAAAGAGCTAATAGACATAAAACTTGTTTAAATTAATAAATATAATTAATAGGAATAAATGTCTGATTGTCTTTACAGCATTTCAGCGCTCTAACACAATTCTTAGCATTTGCTATCATTTCGTTTAAGTGCTATGCACCAAATATGTATTTGGTGACATTTAGTGGAGGGTTGGTTTTTAGTTGGAATATGATGGGAACTTAAAGGGATGATAAGACTACAATGCAGCCTTGAAAATCTTGGGAGGCAGTTGCAGCATTATTCAAGATGTGGCACTGTTCTGGAATAAGCCAAGTTATCAGGTTATGACAAGAGATAAATCATAAGGTAAAATTGATGTCACCATAAATGTAATTGTTTAAACGCTATATTTTACACCAAAATTGTACACCAAAATGTAAGTGGCAAAAAGAAAACCAAAAAGAGCTTACTCAGGCAAACTCTAATTTGAACTTTGTTGTAAATTTGTAAACCACAACACTGAACACCGCAATTGCGGTGGACAGCAATAAGTCAACAGTCTGAACTAGACAGGAAAAAGGCCAACAAACCTTCACAACAAAAGCCAACAAATAAAGCTGCTGCGCGATTAAAGCCAACAAATTTTACCATACTGCGGACACAATTACAACTCAAAAGGCAAACGAAGTTGAAAAAAAAAAAAAGAATTGAATTCAAAGGCCTGATGACTACCAACAAAGGTGCTCCAAAACAGACAAATACCGATCACGTCGCAGGGAAATATTGGTAGAAATCAAGAAATAAGCAATATATCAACACTCAAACGGATCGGCTGGTTCAATCAACACAGAAAGACACGTCGATTAAACCTATATTATAATTGCATAAAACCTCAATACCCATTGTCCGAACAGTTGTCATTTCGTGTCACAGATGGTAAACATATAGAAGATATAATAACATCTGTGCCGTCTAACAAAGCCCCTGGGAATGACAAGATCCCCATCTGCGTTATCGAAGACTGCCTCGCTCCTATTCTTCCTGCAATCATATCCATTGTTAACACCTCTTTTGTTACTTCAACCTTCCCTTCTGTTTGGAAAGTAGCTGAAGTTACACTTATCCCTAAAGACGGAGATCACGAACAAGCAAACAATAACGGACCCATCTCGTTGTTACCTGTTCTATCAAAAGTCTGTGAAAGGGTTGCCCATAATCAACTCACATCGTATCTTCTCTCAAAGGAAAGGCTAACAAAGAACCAGAGTGGAAATAAAAGATGGCACTCAACTGAAACATCCGTAATTCAAACCACCGACGCCATACTTAGCGCCATGGATAAAAAAGAGCTAACTGCTATGGTACTATTAGATATGAGCAAAGCTTTCGACAGCATCAGTCACGAAAACCTAATATCAAAGTTGCTGGACGTCGCTGCCTCTTACCCTTGTCTACAATGGTTCTGCAGCTACCTAAGCGACAGGCAACAAGTTGTACGTATAAAGTCTACTTCATCTGAGCCACTGACCGTGACCAGCGGTGTACCGCAAGGAAGTATTCTGGGCCCGCTTCTTTTCAGCATCTATGTAAACTGATGACCTCCCCGCTGTTCCGCGAAAATGCAGTTCACAGTGCTACGTAGACGATACAAAACTCCTGGTCTCCTTCATCAGTGTTAATAGGAGCTCATTTTCAGGTGACAAAACCCTTTCTGGACCTGTAGTAGTAGTAATAGTAAGACTTTATTTAAGTGTCAAGGTGTTTAGCTTTTGACAAACTAACTGGGGACACTGGTAAAATCTTAAGTGGATACATAAGGAGTAGGATGTTTACACATACACAAGTAGAAATATCTAAAAGGTAAAAAATCCTCAAATATATTAGAGCTAATTATTACACGTTGAGGGCACTAACAGGATCTTAAGTGGACACACAAATACAGGTAAAAAAAAAATAATAATAATTCTAAAAGGTAAAAATCTTAAAATATATTAAAACCAATTTATCTGGCTTCTTGCTTCTGCCCATCTGATACCTCTAGAGTTTGTGTGAATCTGGTCCCTTGTAATATTGCAAGAAGGGCACTTTTTCTTTTACTTGATTGTAAATCCATTCGAATAAATCATAATTGTCTATTCC